ATTAACTTTCCTTTCTGTATAATAGTTTTTATTCCATTTCCATTTTGGACACTGATCACAATATTTTGTGATTTTATAGTATTTCTAAGTTTACAACTCAAAACTCTTATGATCCTAATAATTCCAAATAATACCAGAGGCTAAACCTAAGCCGGCCTTCTCTCTCCCACGGGAGACTTACTCCGAGTCTGAGATCCCCAGCGTGATGGCGCGGATCTTGTGGGTGGCCATGAGGGCGGCGGGGAGGATGGGGGGCGGGGAGGGCGACTGAGGGGGGTCTGAGGGCGAGATATTGAGGTTGTTCTCCTCCACGCTGCTCTCCCCGCCCATGCCGCCGCCCACGACCGGTGCCGGGAGGGCCTCGGGACTCGGGTCTGTGTGGGCGGAGGAAAGGAGCGAGTCGTCAGAGCCGGGCATGCGGTGCGGGCAGCTCTGAGGCTCAGCGAAGAGGGCGCAAAAAGAGAGGGGGAAAGGCCGAGATCAGGGGAGAGAGACACAGGAAGCGAAGGGAAAAAAGACGGGATCTGAGAGGAGAAAGAGCAGCTAGAGAGAGGAAAATGAGAGAGCGAGAAGAAATGGAGAAACAGAGAGAGGGCAGGAGAGCCAGATTCAAAATGAGTTAAAGAAAGAAAGAGAGCGTACGAAAAAGAGAAAGGGGGAGAGCTGAGCCACCGAGACCGGACGGCGCGCAGTAGAGAAGCCAAATAGTAGAAGCGAAGTGCAAAAGCCTCAAGCTGACAAACGTGTGGAAATCCAGAAGACATCCATTCCCCATATACTGTAACTTATACTAATTATAAATACATTATATCACTTATACTCTATCAGATACACTCTAAAAGGCAACTGCTATATTTATACAACTTCTAGTGGTTCTGTAGTAATGGCCAGTCTACCTGATTACACAAGGTCGTCACTTCCGCAGCTGTTTAGGCAAACATGATTAAAAGCGTTGATCCAAATTTGTCACTAATTTGTAAGATTTCTAAGACTACAATATAGTTATTGACTATCTGTCATTCTATATCTTGAGAACCACATACTGCTAAATTCCCAACTTGGATTACAACTTATTCATTCACGTACAGTATACAGTAAATCTTAACAGCCATCTTCCATAGAAAATTAGCTAAGTTGCCAGAATACTATCTGAATATCCAAGATAGGAAATTAAGAAACAAATCCCAAGTCACCTCATTCAAGAAAAAATAGACTTTTCCTCTACCTCGATAGATACACCACATACCCCTCTTCCAAGTACCGAATACAGACCCACAACACCTGGTCGACGACCCCTACCTTCCGCCAGCTGATGCAAGAATCTCTTCTGGCTCCTGGGGGTCCCTGCGGCCTGCTGCTGCGCCTGGTGCGTGGGCGAGTAGCGCTTCTTGTCCGTGCTGTCCACGCTCGACCTGCTGGCGCGCGACTCCGTTCTTACCACAAGGTTCTCCGGCGAGATTCTCCGCCCGCTGTGGGCGTAGGGGCTCTCGTGGGCGTACGGGCTCCCCTCGGACAATTGCCCTGGGTATAGGCGCCCACTCACGTCAGGAGAGTAACGGCGGGCGTCCGGGGAGTTTCGTCGGGCATCCAGCGTCGAGAACTTTTTCGGGTCCGGCGAGAAGCGGTGCTTGCTCGAGGGCGAGTACGTGCCGTACTGGTTCTCGGCGGGCGAGTAACGGCCGCGGTTCTGCAGGAGAGCGGATGGAAAGGGCTGACGCGTCAATAAATTTTACTTATATTCTGTACTCAGACTGAGCAGTTTTTTTTTTCTTATGCAAAGAAGATAAAGCCTTGTAAGTGTTATAACCCAAACAGCACCCTGCATTATATATATTCAACTCGAATTGCGATAACTCGCACTCGATTTTTTTTTCAAAAGACCAAAACCAACCTTACCTGGTCCATATACCGTGCGAGGGAAGGACGGGACTCGACTCTCAAATTGTCCGCCTTGTCTTGCATCTCGTTGTCTGAGGCGGTGGTGGTGGAGAGCCTCTCGCTGGCCCACAGCGGCGACGGCACGTTGTGCTCTGTGAACGAAGAGGCGATGTGTTAGTGTCTTCAGAACTCATGTTAGGCTGCTCTCATTAGCCGTTCTTCATTTCACCTGCTTATGTTTTAATTGCACATTCAAAAACATTATATTTCACTTATTTCACTTCAATATTTAGTTTGTCTATAGATATTTTTTCTGCCAAACGTCACAAATAATGTCCCAGTGATAAGACCATTGCAGGCGTAAAACACAAGCACCAAATACGAGGCATGGCATGGCGAGCACGCCGTCGCCGAACACCAACCTTTGTAGGGGTAAGTGGAGTCCAGCTGCGAGGACCAGCGAGTGGCGAAAAGCGGACGAATGTTGTGTAGGAAAGGCGATCCTCCCGGACCCCCTCCTAAGGGCGGCCCTCCCCCACCTCCCCCGGGCATGCTGTGGGGGGCGGGGGGAAGCGCCTCCGCCGTGGTGTCGAGGTCGTAGATGTTCGGCAGATAACTCGATGGTTTGGGAGGAACTTCTGAAACAAAGATCTTGAGTGAGGCTGTGGGGGCGTGGGCAATGTCGGGTGTGCAAGTCGCTGTGGGAAATGAGGATTCCTCCGTAGCGAGCTTTGTTTTCCCATTTACTATTGTTTATTTTTTCTCTCAAAACGTCTATCGCTTTCATTATCATCATTATGTTTATCTTTATCATTCATCCATTCCTATTTATTGTAATTCATAAATCACATGTCATCTCTGCCAGTCTGTTTGCCTCCCTCCCTTCATCCTTCACCCTACCTTCCTGATACATACCGGGCGGCGGATTGGTGCGTCGTTCGTTGACCCTGAGTGTTCCGTTGTGGGTCGTGGTGTCGTCCTCGTCGCTGGAGTGGGAGGAGGCGAGGTCGAGCGAGCGGTGGTCGAGGCTCAGCTCGCTCTCGCTTTCGCTCTCTCGACGTCTTCCTCCTCGACCGCCTGCACGAAGGGGGAGACGGTTAAACGTTTAATTACGACACTATTTAATCTTCCTTTTCTGACTAATATTTCAGTTTTGGTTTTATCGTTATCCGATTTATCTCGCTTAGAGCTATTCAATATTTCTCCCATTCATAAAACAATTTCATTAATCTCTTTCACCTTTCCCTTTCTCTCCCTTTTCTTTTCCCTCTCCCTCACACCTTCCTTCCTTCCCTCCCTCCCATCCCCCTCCCCACCTCTCCCTCTCCCTCCCTCCCTCACTCACCGTGCTTCCTATGGAACATTGTGGAGTCGTTGTACGCGTACGGCGACTTGACCGAATGCGCCTGGGAGTTAATATCCGTGTTGGAGTTGTAGTTGCTGGGCGTGCTGGAGGAGGCCACCCGCCCGCCCACCGCCACGCCCTCGCTCCGACTGTAAGGAGAGCTGGAGGTCTTGCAGGTGGAACGGGAGGTCGTGCTGGCCGTGGAGATGCCGATGTTGCGCCGCAGGATGTTGAAGTCGTCGTTGTAGGTGAGGGCTGAACGCTGTGGGCGGAGGAGAAGGAGGAAGGGGTTAGCTGGGATGCGTGTGCCTTAGGAGGTCTATTTGTCGTTGCTGTTATTTAGTTGATTAACATTCTTCCTTAATCAAAATGTAAATGCGGAAGAAAAAACGAAATTAAGATATTCACACAAGAATCTAGATCTGCTCATGAAAACAAAGTTCTTGAAGCACAATATTCTTCCATTTCCCCTTCCCAGCCAAGGACGCGAACGGCACGAGTGCTCACCGAGGAGTGCGACGGCCGCGTGACGCTCAGAGTCTCCTGGTAGGGCACCTTCCTCCCTGTGCAGGCCAGGAACATGAAGTAGAGCGAGTCCCTGACACGGCTGTTGAGGAGGCAGTATCCTACGAGTACGAAGAGGGCCGTCAGCAGGGAGAACACCGAGAAGAAGTAGTGCAGGATCTCGAGATCCTCTGACACCGAGAGGACCGCCAGCACCCACGTGGCCCCGAGGAGAGGCAGGAACAGGATGCCCAGCCACAGCAGCGTCCTGCGCCCGGAACAGAGACAGCAATGAGGTAAAATGGCGACGAATTATTCCAGAGATCCATTAGATGAAAGTTTGATTATGGCACAAGGTAGCTTAAAGAACTTATCAATTTATAACTTTTAAAAATAGAGCAATTGCAAGCTCCACATTCACACTTATAGTCGTATAGGAGAGTGAAGAAGAATAACTAATTTTGAAACCCTATTCAGACCTGAGGTTTCCGAATCCTTCGATATGTCCCTTGAGGGTGAGGGAAGCGCGGATGGCCAGGACGAACACCAGCAGAATGATGATGACGATGGTGCAGATCGGGCCCACCAAGGCCCACACCACGTTCTCGTAGATGCTTAGCCAACAGCTGTATAAACAAATCATACGTTAGTCTCGCTCATTTATTTGTTATTGTTATCTAATTTTTATCTATTTATCGATCTGTCTATCTGAATATTTCCATATATCTGTACATATCTATCCACCACACGCGATCTTTTGAATTTGAACAACCTATCAAATGCCATTTCTTAATACATATTACATTTTTCTCTCTCTACATACTCTACAGAAAAGAAATAACCCTAAAGACTCACAAGAAGTAGTTCCCGTACTGGTCGGCGCGCACGCCCACGGACAGGCCCACAATGATGGCGGGCAGCCCGTACCCGCAGGAGTAGTAGAACCGCATCTGGCCGTGGTTCACGTCGCGCATCTCCGTTAGCATCCGGTACAGGTGAACTCCCTCGATGAGCAGCCACGTGAACACGCACAGCCAGAAGTAGTGGAGGCCGATGGCTACCATTTTGCAAGGGAACTGTGGTGAAGAGAGTGAATGTAAAATGGGGGAATTATTTAAGTGAATGTAAAGGAGTCGTAATATTGGTGAAACCATATAATGGGCTGTAATATTCCAGATAGCATAATAAATTCACATTATCCTGCTGAAATTTAAAAAATTAAAACTGTTTACCACGCTTGTAAACATAAACAGATCTACTCATACAACATTTCCTCCTCATAAGTACCACGTCCCAACCCACCTCCTGTTGCACAAGAATATGCCTGATCTTCAGAGCCGCGAGGAAAAGCAGCTGCACAATGAAGATGCAAGCAGTCAGGTTCTTGTGGATCGTGTTCGAGTTGGTCTGCGCGCCGCGGAGGAGGCAGAAGGCGATGAAGGCGAGGAGGAGCAGCACCAGCGACAGGATGAGGCCAGTGTAGGTCGTCACGTCTTCGGCGATGGACGGCTCGGCGAGGAACTGTGAGGGGGGCGGGGTGAGATTAGTAACGAAGGTGTTTTTATCTCGATAAATCATTATTGGTATAGCGTTTACTTTTATGAAAATTATCCAGAAATTTGGAGCGTTTAGATATGAAGACGTTATGAATAAAGTGTTATATAGTTTCACTTTTAAAAAATATTAATCATAAAATGTTACATAGTTCTGACATCTAATTTGAACATGAGGTACTATGTCTTTAATCACCTAATGCAAGGTATCCTACTTTCATAAATATGTTATATTTCCCCCAAAACAGCAACATAACCATGAACAACATATCTAAAAAAGACAAATAAAAAAATAAAGATCCGCACCTCTGCTTCTGCGTCGTTGAGAATGACGGCAAAACTGGAGAGGTGGTCGCAGGTGCAGTTGATGAAGGTGTCGTTGACGTAGTCCCCGTAGCCTCGCTCGGCGGCGCTCGTCACGCAGCCCTCGCGGGTCCACACGCCCTCTTTGCTGCAGGGAGAAACGAGCCTTGGTTTGTGGGCGCGAGGTTTCACTCCGTTTGAGCTGTGCTCTTATTTATCCAATTTTCTTTTCTACTCTTCTGCTCTCTCTCTCTCTCTCTCTCTCTCTCTCTCTCTCTCTCTCTCTCTCTCTCTCTCTCTCTCTCTCTCTCTCTCTCTCTCTCTCTCTCTCTCTCTCTCTCTCTCTCTCTCTCTCTCTCTCTCTCTCTCTCTCTCTCTCCCTCTCTCCCTCCCCCTCCCTTGGCACTCACCTGTCGGGCTTGCTGACCCACGTGACGCACTGCGGGTTGGAGCGGCGGCCGACGTGGCCCACCCGGAACCGCAGCCGCACCTGGACGCCCAGCTTGTCCTTGATAAGCCCCCCGTGCTCCGTGTGCACCGCCACCGTGAACACCGGCGAGCGGACGGCCAGCCCGACGCCCCAGCGCTGCTCTACGTCGCCGTCGTAAGTCTCCGGGAGGAGGAGGCCAAGCGAGCGGAACACCACGTAGCTGACGACCGCGCGCCGGCTGCCCAGGGTCTCGCCCGTCGAGGTCTCGCCTGGGGGAGCACATGGGAGTTCAGTTGTGTTTCACTTTGGGGTTAAACAGATCTACTGAATGTATATGCGACAAATGTTAAACTGTGCAATGTATATTCCAGATAAATAATTACTGTAAAATTGTATAAACAACAATTGTACATTAATCAAGTGCTGAAGCTGTCCGTCACTCACCCTTCGCCACATTGGGGATCCCGAGCAGCGAGAGGGGGATCCTGATGTTCGTGTCGTGGACCCAAAGCTGCTGGTTCTTCAGGTAGTTGTTGTATTTGGGCACGATAACCGAGGCCTCCCCCTTGCCCGGGTAGTGGCGGTCCACCAGGGACGAAGTCTCGGGTATAATCACGTGCTCGACGCGGTCCTCGTGCCCCGCTACGTACCCAGACCGACTGTAGCCGTACAGTTCGTCGGCGGAGACTGTGTCCATCCCGAACACTGGGGGGAATCGAAGAGTTAAAATAGTTAATAATTCCGAGACGTCATAGTGGATTGCATTGTTACCTAGTTCACGTATACATAACTGATATTTTAAATGTTCGGGAAATAAAAAAAATATATAGGTTTTAAGTTTCCACTGATTTCTATATGCTATGTACTAAAAACTTCCATGTACATTTTACTAAATATATATTCAATAAACCTGAAGATATGACACTTTATCATACACACACACCTCACGGCCTCACTTACCGACTTGCTTGGTGGGCACTTCGAAGGGCGTGGTATATGTGTCGCCCTGGTTGGTGGCCAGCTTTGCCACGTACTCGTCCAGCTTGGTGAGGAGCGAGTCGGCCCCGAAGCCGTTGAGGCCGTTGATTCGCTGCCAGTGGCCGGCGTACAGGGGCTGCAGGATCACGCTGGCTGACTCCACCAGGTTCTGGAGGGGAGAAGAGGCCAGGGTTTAGATTCCACGTTCAGGGCCGTGGCTAGAAACACGGTGTCAATCAAATGAATGTGACCATCTACCATGACTTGACTCACGCCTTTACTTCTTCCCCTAGTATTACCTGGATGTAGTGGCGGTCCTGTCTGTGAGTCAGGTTGAGTCCCTCCTGGTGACTCTCGTACTCGAGGAGGACGATGAGAAGCCGTGAGGCGATGAGGACGTCCGAGCCCCACATGGACGGCGTGATCGAGCAGGCGTAGTTGAGGTCCTCGGAGATCTTCACGGCCAGATAGGTAGTGATCTCCAGCTCCTCATTATCGAGGCTCCGCAGCTGTGAGGAAATGAATGGGCTGCTCTTAGGCTTTTGCATACACTGAAGGCTTAACGTTTGGCGAGCTAGAGAAACACATTTGCATACTTTACGCTGCCTAGAACGACAATCGTTATTTATCAGATTCGAACTCAAACCTTCAAACTCCATAAAAGATAACTTCGAGCACCAAAGCTACCCACCAGATCCCTCAGTTCGATGAAAGTATCCGACACGCAGTTGAACATGTCCGGAGGTCCCCATCCGACTTCCTTGTGGCACGACCTGCTGGCCTGCCCTTGAGCTCCTGCGGGACACGGCTGGACCGTCTTTCCGTCGAAGGCCGTCTGCTCCCACCAGATCATGTCGAAATTCTTGGGGCACCCGTCGTACACGACTGTTCAAGGCGAAGGAATGAGAGGTTTAAAATGAGTGAGAACTAATGCAACAAACGAGATGATATATATGTAGTATATATACAAAAGGACGATATCCTAGAATACACGAAAAGCATATAAATAATATCACAGCACTTACTTTCGCAGCCTCTAATCGTGACCTGAGCGAAGGCGTTTGCACAAAGGTCACAGCGACGACCGATGACCCCGGGGCGACACCGACACTGGCCCGTCAGAGGGTCGCATGAACTCCCATACGAACCCACCAGATAGCAGTCGCAGTCGTAGCAGGCATCTGAGACTTCCGGCTGGTAGTGATTTTCCTGGAAATCGAGGGGCGTTTAAGCACACGAAGTTTACTGTGGATAATTGTGTCTCTTATGTACGGGTTAAGTTATCGAACAATTATGCCGGATTTCATGAAGAAGAAATGGGGAAGAGAGAACAGCTCACCTCGCACCGACATTCCCCGCTAGTCTTGTTACAGTCGCCGTCGTAGCCCTTGTCGACGTCGCAGTGGCAGGGGCCGCAGACGGGGTAACCCCACCAGTTGGTCGGGCACGGCTGGTCCAGCACCACCTCGCAGTACTCGCCTGTCGGAACCAGGAAAAAACGGTTGATTTATAAACACCACCAGATGAATTAACACATACATTATTAATTTGTCCTGTGTAAGGAATTTAAAGAAAAAATATGTAACATGTCTACTCACCGGAGAACTTGTAGGTCGGGCACTCGCAGCGATAGCCCTTCGGGGAGTGGATGTCATGCACGCAGGTGGCGTTGTTGCTGCACGGGTTCAGCGTGCACACGTCCGCGCACTTGTCCCCGAAGAAGCCCTTGTTGCACTTGCACTCATACCCCTGCCAGGTGTTGACGCACTGCGAGTTCGCGGGGCACGGGCGCGACGTGCAGGGGTCGGAGGCCACGCAGCCGTCGCGCACGCCGCCCTCGTGCGTCGGGTGCGCCAGGATGTTCTTGTTGCTTCCCACGCGGACATCCTGTGCAAAGAGAGTGTTCGGTTAGTGAGTGCGGGATGAACACATAAGTGTTAACATAGCTATTATTAATTTTATTGCTACACTACAGTGACTGAAGTTCATCTGACACTTTCTCCAAAAGGATAAGTGAAACTCCTCTTCTCTCCTTCGCTTCTCCACTAACCTTGATGCATCCCTTGAAGCCCGTGACCTTGGCGGGGTCCGAGGGCTGGACGCCCCCGACCGAGACCTTGCCGATGTAGAGCCCGGCCACCCACGAGTTCACCGAGTGCGTGATCTCGTAGTTCCCGTAATCCAGGTTGATCCACACCTCCGTGTTCATCCACTTCACCTCCACGTTGTGCCACAGGCCGTCATCCACGCGCGTTTCCGTCAGCTTCATGGTGGTGTTCTCGTAGCGGTACTGGATGTAGCCGTCGACCAGCTGTTCAGGTGGGGGGGGGGGGGGGAATGGTGAATGGTGGCAGGACTATATTCACGATAGTACTTTCCTATGGGTTTACATTCAAAACTATTTATTTCAACACACACACACACACAAAACACACACAAAAAAAAAACACACACACAACACAAAAAAAAAAAACACACACACACACACACACACACACACACACACACACACACACACACACACACACACACACACACACACACACACACACACACACACACAACACACTACACACAACACACAACACACACACACACACAACACACACACACACACACACACACACACACACACACACACACACACACACACACACACACACACACACACACACACACACACACACTCCCCCCACGAAACAAACACAAACATCTACCTCAATAATACTGTTGGCGTTCTGTCCGACGGCAGTGATGACAAGTAGACCGAACTGCTCTCGCGTCCTGAAGGAGAGGCTGTTGCTCCACGGTAATTTGATGGACTGCAAGTGCGGCGTCACCACCAGGAAGCCCTCGCCCGTGAACTGCTTCACCACCTCAAGCTCTGTGACGCGGATCAAGGGGCGGGTGAAAAGTCTTTCCAAGTAAGGACCATAGCTATTTTGTGACAACTTTGCGTAAAACTAATATTTCCACTTCTATTGCTTTCACTACAGCCAAAAAATAATGACGACGACGACGATGACGATTGTGGTGATGATCACAACAAAACAGCAAGGGCAACGCACTCACCTTCAGAGCAGTACCTCCCGCCCCAGCCCGTCGGGCAGGTGCAGACGAAGGTGCCAAAAGTCTCCCTGCAAGAGCCGCCGTTCTGACACGGGTGAGAACGGCAAAAGCTGTTCTTCTCGGGGCAGCCTGGGTAAGTGCCGTTATATGCAACGTATCTGAAAAAGTAGAATACGGTTAGATTGCCTGATTCACAACTTAGGTCATGCCAGCCTCTTCACCCTCAATTAACGTTACGGCAGTCTTCATCCAACCTCAAGCCGTGAGAACTTTCTCAACTTCAAGTTATGTCAACTTTCACCATCTCGAGCTACATCAACTTTCACCCCTGACCCCTTGCTAACTCTCCCCCTTGACCTCAAGCTAAGTCAAGCTATGTCAACCAGTCGAAAGATAACATAAACAATAAGCAGTTAACAAACATATACTACAACTCCGAATAAGGAGAAAAGAAAACTTACACAAAGGTAAACTTCTTAATACTCACGAATCCAAATCGATGAATCTATGGTCGACATAGAGATCGCTGATGCATCCATGGAAGTGTTGCTGGCTGACCTGGTACGTTGTGGGGAGGGCGGGCAGACCACCTATCTGAAGGGGCCCTGTCACGTCCAAGAACCTATGACAGGACTCCGTCAAGCTGGCACACCTTAAGGAGGGGAACACGAGTGTTAGGAGTTTATTAGAAAGTTACACATATGAAATGAATGTCTGATTTCTTCAAAACAGATTTAGAAATTAGTTTTTGCAGTGAATGCCTACAATACCCACAAACATCTATTTGTTATCGAAACCACGGAACCCCAAAGGAGCCCTAAGAGAATCCTAAAACAAATCAGATACCTCGGGTCGAGAATCTGAGCCGTGGTGTTGGCGCAGTGGTAGTCCCCGATCTGGTGCCAAAGCGGACGGCGAGCGCGGAGTCACAGTTATCGAGGCTGATGGTGGCGCTCTGAAGGAGAAGGGAACCGAGGTCAGGGGCGTGTCCAGTGTTGTCTTAACGTGTGAATAGTAATTAAACTCACGCTATACATTCGCAAACCCTGTCCTTTCTCTATTTGCGGCGTCACCACCAGGAAGCCCTCGCCCGTGAACTGCTTCACCACCTCAAGCTCTGTGACGCGGATCAAGGGGCGGGTGAAAAGTCTTTCCAAGTAAGGACCATAGCTATTTTGTGACAACTTTGCGTAAAACTAATATTTCCACTTCTATTGCTTTCACTACAGCCAAAAAATAATGACGACGACGACGATGACGATTGTGGTGATGATCACAACAAAACAGCAAGGGCAACGCACTCACCTTCAGAGCAGTACCTCCCGCCCCAGCCCGTCGGGCAGGTGCAGACGAAGGTGCCAAAGGTCTCCCTGCAAGAGCCGCCGTTCTGACACGGGTGAGAACGGCAAAAGCTGTTCTTCTCGGGGCAGCCTGGGTAAGTGCCGTTATATGCAACGTATCTGAAAAAGTAGAATACGGTTAGATTGCCTGATTCACAACTTAGGTCATGCCAGCCTCTTCAACCTCAATTAACGTTACGGCAGTCTTCATCCAACCTCAAGCCGTGAGAACTTTCTCAACTTCAAGTTATGTCAACTTTCACCATCTCGAGCTACATCAACTTTCACCCCTGACCCCTTGCTAACTCTCCCCCTTGACCTCAAGCTAAGTCAAGCTATGTCAACCAGTCGAAAGATAACATAAACAATAAGCAGTTAACAAACATATACTACAACTCCGAATAAGGAGAAAAGAAAACTTACACAAAGGTAAACTTCTTAATACTCACGAATCCAAATCGATGAATCTATGGTCGACATAGAGATCGCTGATGCATCCATGGAAGTGTTGCTGGCTGACCTGGTACGTTGTGGGGAGGGCGGGCAGACCACCTATCTGAAGGGGCCCTGTCACGTCCAAGAACCTATGACAGGACTCCGTCAAGCTGGCACACCTTAAGGAGGGGAACACGAGTGTTAGGAGTTTATTAGAAAGTTACACATATGAAATGAATGTCTGATTTCTTCAAAACAGATTTAGAAATTAGTTTTTGCAGTGAATGCCTACAATACCCACACACATCTACTTGTTATCGAAACCACGGAACCCCAAAGGAGCCCTAAGAGAATCCTAAAACAAATCAGGTACCTCGGGTCGAGAATCTGAGCCGTGGTGTTGGCGCAGTGGTAGTCCCCGATCTGGTGGCCAAAGCGGACGGCGAGCGCGGAGTCACAGTTATCGAGGCTGATGGTGGCGCTCTGAAGGAGAAGGGAACCGAGGTCAGGGGCGTGTCCAGTGTTGTCTTAACGTGTGAATAGTAATTAAACTCACGCTATACATTCGCAAACCCTGTCTTTCTCTATTTCTACCTTTGTGTCAGTCCGTCTGTCTGTCTATCTCTGTCCTATATATCTGCCTCTGTCTCTATGTTTCTCTGTCTCTATCTGTTTCTATGTCTCTCTCTGTTGCTCTCTATCTGTCTCTGTCTCTATCTCTGTCTATTACACACAAACACACACAAACACACACACACACACACACACACACACACACACAGGAGGAGGGAGGAGGAGGAGGAGGAGGAGGAGGAGGAGGAGGAGGAGGAGGAGGAGGAGGAGGAGGAGGAGGAGGAGGAGGAGGAGGAGGAGGAGGAGGAGGAGGAGGAGGAGGAGAGGAGGAGGAGGAGGAGGAGGAGGAGGAGGAGAGGAGGAGGAGGAGGAGAGGAGGAGGAGGAGGAGGAGGAGGAGGAGGAGGAGAGGAGGAGGAGGAGAGGAGGAGGAGGAGGAGAGGAGGAGGAGGAGGAGGAGGAGGAGGAGGAGGAGGAGGAGGAGGAGGAGGAGGAGGAGGAGGAGGAGGAGAGGAGGAGGAGGAGGAGGAGGAGGAGGAGGAGGAGGAGGAGGAGGAGGAGGAGGAGGAGGAGGAGGAGGAGGAGGAGGAGGAGAGGAGGAGGAGGAGGAGAGGAGGAGGAGGAGGAGGAGGAGGAGGAGGAGAGGAGGAGGAGGAGAGGAGGAGGAGGAGGAGGAGGAGGAGGAGGAGGAGGAGGAGGAGGAGAGGAGGAGGAGGAGAGGAGGAGGAGGAGGAGGAGGAGGAGGAGGAGGAGGAGGAGGAGGAGGAGGAGGAGGAGGAGGAGGAGGAGGAGGAGGAGGAGGAGGAGGAGGAGGAGGAGGAGGAGGAGGAGGAGGAGGAGGAGGAGGAGAGGAGGAGGAGGAGAGGAGGAGGAGGAGGAGGAGGAGAGGAGGAGGAGGAGAGGAGGAGGAGGAGAGGAGGAGGAGGAGAGGAGGAGGAGGAGGAGGAGGAGGAGGAGGAGGAGGAGGAGGAGGAGAGGAGGAGGAGGAGGAGGAGGAGGAGGAGAGGAGGAGGAGGAGGAGAGGAGGAGGAGGAGGAGGAGGAGGAGGAGGAGAGGAGGAGGAGGAGAGGAGGAGGAGGAGAGGAGGAGGAGGAGGAGGAGGAGGAGAGGAGGAGGAGGAGGAGGAGGAGGAGGAGGAGGAGGAGGAGGAGAGGAGGAGGAGGAGGAGGAGGAGGAGGAGGAGGAGGAGGAGGAGGAGGAGGAGGAGGAGAGGAGGAGGAGGAGGAGGAGGAGGAGGAGGAGGAGGAGGAGAGGAGGAGGAGGAGAGGAGGAGGAGGAGAGGAGGAGGAGGAGAGGAGGAGGAGGAGAGGAGGAGGAGGAGAGGAGGAGGAGGAGAGGAGGAGGAGGAGAGGAGGAGGAGGAGAGGAGGAGGAGGAGAGGAGGAGGAGGAGAGGAGGAGGAGGAGAGGAGGAGGAGGAGGAGAGGAGGAGGAGGAGAGGAGGAGGAGGAGAGGAGGAGGAGGAGAGGAGGAGGAGGAGAGGAGGAGGAGGAGAGGAGGAGGAGGAGAGGAGGAGGAGGAGGAGGAGGAGGAGGAGGAGAGGAGGAGGAGGAGAGGAGGAGGAGGAGAGGAGGAGGAGGAGGAGGAGGAGGAGAGGAGGAGGAGGAGGAGGAGGAGGAGGAGGAGGAGGAGGAGGAGGAGGAGGAGGAGGAGGAGAGGAGGAGGAGGAGAGGAGGAGGAGGAGGAGGAGGAGGAGGAGGAGGAGGAGGAGAGGAGGAGGAGGAGAGGAGGAGGAGGAGGAGGAGGAGGAGGAGGAGAGGAGGAGGAGGAGAGGAGGAGGAGGAGGAGGAGAGGAGGAGGAGGAGAGGAGGAGGAGGAGGAGGAGGAGGAGGAGGAGGAGGAGGAGGAGGAGGAGGAGGAGGAGAGGAGGAGGAGGAGAGGAGGAGGAGGAGGAGGAGGAGGAGGAGGAGAGGAGGAGGAGGAGGAGGAGGAGAGGAGGAGGAGGAGGAGGAGAGGAGGAGGAGGAGGAGGAGGAGGAGGAGGAGGAGGAGGAGGAGGAGGAGGAGGAGGAGGAGGAGGAGGAGGAGGAGGAGGAGGAGGAGGAGGAGGAGGAGAAGAAGAAGAAGAAGAAGGAGAAGGAGGAGAATTTGATGAAGGAGGAGGAGAAGCATAAAGAACAAGGAAGAAGTGAGGAGAGGATGACGGAGGAGGGCAGCCAGAGTGGAGGGAACGGAAGTGAAAACGAAGGTAAAACGGGAGAATGAAAGAGTGAGAAAGATGAAAGGGAAGAAGGAAAGAAGAAAAGAGATAAACATGAGAAATACAAAAGAAGGATGACGAAAGAAATCCACAGCAAAAATCATTAAAAGCTATTAATAAATTAATCCTTATAACAACCATGATAAAAAACACTAATAGATTATCTCCTTACAAAGTTAACCCAGTTATTAAGAAATGGAAATTAAGTAAAATATTAGCAAACAAACAAAGGGGTGGTAGCGTCCAAAACAAAGAATATAATAACTCAAATAAATAAACATCCATAACAAAAAACACACGAAACACGTACAAAACACAATTACAAAATACATTTTTCTTTCCTTTCCACTTTCTTACAGAGATTTACCCACACGTGCCCTCTAGAAAATCCTCAACAGCTCACCTCATCTTGATATGAATCCTGTGTCGCTGCTTCAGAGTCGGGAAGGTCAGGAAATCCCCTCGAGAGAACCTCCTCGCCCGCAGCTCGCACGTGGAGGTGTGGTACAACGAACGCGTGCAGTTGGTGCACTTGAAGCCTCCTGCCCCGTTGCCACTTCGCCCGTCCTCCTCCGTACACTTACTGCCGTGTACGCATATGCCGTCCACACAGGGGCCGCTCAGCATGTTTACTTCGCAATTCTTGCCTGCATGGGAGAGGTTGTTTTACCAATCATGAGTCACCATCGTCTGCATTTAACACTATGATTATCAGCATCACCTGCACTCATATAATGTACTCAATACATTATATTAGTTCAAGCTCTAATATTCCAACAAATACATATCTTAATCAAGCGACATAAGACGTCATAGACGCACCTGTGAATTCCGGAAGACAAACGCAGGTGTAGCCTCCTTCCCTCCGCATGCAGGTGCCGTGGTTGCCGCAGGGGTTGCTGTAGCACAGGTTGACCTCTGTGTCGCACTCGTAGTGTTCCCGCATTCCGGTGAAGCCCTGGGTCAAAAGTCAAGAGGGTTTAGTTAACGTACTGGGAATTAGGTGTTCACTGGAGACCTTTTTAAATCTCATTAATGCATTCGTATTTCTCTGTACTTTTTATGCCATAATTGTTCTTATGTATTTATATATTCATCTTTATATAATACATTTTTCGCATTGGGCCCACCACATCTTTTATCTCATATTTTTCCTTTTCTGTCTGTATAAATATTCATGAATCTAATTAGGGATGCAACCTAGCGCATTAAAGCAAACAGGTCTCTCACGCCACAGAATAATTCCAATCCCATTTTAAGCAAGACTTTCCTCTAGGCATAGAAAACGGGAACAGGCTATGAAACTCAACCAACAGAAAACGGGAACTCACCTTGGGGCACCTGCAAGCAAATGTGTTGACCGGATAAATCGGACGGAAAAGAATACTATTGGACGATATAAAACCCGAAGCATTGCCGAACTTGAGCACATTCAGACACTCTTCGAAGTTGAGGCAGGGCTCGCGGACGCAGAGGGTGTCGTCGAAGGGAAGGACCTGAAACATAGGAGGTGAAGCTGTTTGAGATGAGGGGATGATTTATTTTTTTTTTTTGCAAAATGCACTATTAGATTTCTTTTATCATGGAGAGATCATAGGTATGCCTGAGTTGACCTTTGAAATATATTGCACTGAAAATGTATATTAACGATTAAAGAGGCCCAAATATCACGGAGGATAAATACAAATCTAGTAATAAGAATGAAGACAATTAACGAGGCTTCGGAATCAAAATAAAAACACAAAAGGCAGAATACACATGGAAAGGCATCTAACAACTTCAGAAAACGGACCTCCACGGTGGCCAGCTTCACCAAGTCGGCGCGGTGGAGGTACACGCGCTCCCGGAGGTACTGCGGCTGGTAGAACTCCTCCCCGGGGACGTCGGGCCGCTTGGCCGAGAAGCTGACGTTCAGGATGCGGGACTCCACGTCCGTGTCGTCCTGCAAAACCACGCAGTTAGAAATGCGACGAGGCGCGCGCGCGAGCGTTCTACTTCTGTGATTACATGGCTTTAAAACTACAAATAAGTAGTCTAATTTCCCAAGACATTTGACTTAAAAGATTAGTCCCTAATAAACTCACGTCCCAACAATTTTTAACACAAACAACAATAAGAATAATGATGACAATAGTAATAACAATAAAAATAATGATGACAATAGTAATAACAATAAAAATAATGATGGTAATAATAACAATAATTACTCTCATTATCATTACTATAAAAACCATCATTTCTTTCATTATCCTCAACATACTACGTCCTCTCACCTGAATATTAAAAATAAAAATGTTCTCCCTCGGGCACGGTATGATGGCCGCCAACCCGTCAATGAAGTATGACAAGAGAGGGGACAAGAAGGCCTCCTGTGTCATGTCAGCCATGCGCACTGTCACCGAGTTGAACAGCATGGCCTCCGTCACCAGGCGCACTTGCAGGGTCATTTCAGCGGTTACTTCGTTCAGGCCATCTGTTTGGGAAAGAGAAAGAGCTTGGTTAAATGTTAATGAATGCGATTATTTGGTTAAATTTGTAATGGGTGAAGTTGGTTAGTTAACTTTGTAGTGAGAGTGAGAGAGAGAGAGAGAGAGAGAGAGAGAGAGAGAGAGAGAGAGAGAGAGAGAGAGAGAGAGAGAGAGAGAGAGAGAGAGAGAGAGAGATGAACAGACAGATGGATAGAGAGAGAGAGGGAGGTTGTCTTGTTACCTTTATCATTAATTAACCCAATATGGAGCTAAAGTCATAGTATGATGATGTCAGTTATTTTTCTGGTTCGAAATGATAATGGGTTTGTGGCAGAGGTAGTGGTATTTATATGATAAAGTAGCACTATTACTAAAGGTAACAGAGAGTAATGGGAATAAATAATGTTATAATATGATATTATAACGTTTACTATAATCTACCACGTTAATATAATTATAATGAGGCCCCCATCCAGGAAACGATAACTCACATACGGTATAATTACAGTAATAAAGAATAACAGCCCAATCAAACCCGCTCCATTATCTGATCTGTAAACCATGCAATCTCAAAATAAATTCATAAAAATCAAAATCAGCTGAAACAAAATACAGACGCAACGCGATGTTATTTTGTCGATTTTTTTTCCGCAGCGGTCATTGTCCCTTTCCTTACATATTCTATATCTATATTTAGTATATCAAAATCTGTTCCGTTGCAGAATGTATATCAAATGGCTTCTATGCTAAATCCACTTTTTTATATCTAAAGACCTTTACGTCAAATAAAACCAACTATTTTTTTTTTTTACTTTTATATCTATCGACTTCTATGCCAAGTCATTTCTATAATTAAGGACCTATGTCAAAGAAAATATTTTTTTTGTTTATATCTAACGACTTCTGTGCCAAGTGACATGCCATGCCAACCACTCTGATCATACGTGTAACGAGTGGGGCTAATGGTGATGGTTCTTTAATGATATGAAGTAATGACCGTCAGAGAGACAAGAGAAAAAAAAACATGGAAGGAAAAACTGTGATTGGAACGAAATGCCTGATGGGGTTTCTTGCGGAGGATCAGATAAGTCTAAATACAGAGGGTATGTGGATGATGATACTACCTCTATCAAATATTGATAACAATAACAATGCCACCAGCAATAACAATAACGACAAAAAACAAGAACAATGGCAATGAAAATAATATTAACAAAAATAAAAGCAAACATCAGGTGTAGGAGACGAACGCGCAGCCTGTTATTATATCTAAAAAATTGACAGACAGACGCACAGGCAGGCCGATTGACTGACAGGCAGAGGGGGGAGGTAAAGGGGTAGGGGGAGGTAAAAGCAGACAAGCCTCGCCACAGCTACAATCACTTGACATTATTGACATCGCTGTCTTATCAACGCCTGACACTTGACAGACGACCCAGCGACATTATTACCCTCTCTCTCTCTTTGCCTCTCATTACTCCCTCCTTCGTCCCTCTTTCTCTTTCTGCTGCCTCCTCTTCGTCTCTCTCACTCTCTCCCTGGCTCTTTCGCCTTCACTTCTTCCCCTTTTTAGAAATAGGAAAAGGAAGACGTAGGGGGGAGGGGGGAGAGAGAAAGAGAGAGAGGAGAGAGATGGGGGGGGGGGGAGAGAGGAGAGAGAGAGAGAGGAGAGAGAGGAGAGAGAGAGAGAGAGGAGAGAGAGAGAGAGAGAGAGAGAGAGAGAGAGAGAGAGAGAGAGAGGGGAGAGAGAGAGGGGGAGGGAGGGAGGGAGGGAGGGAGGGAGGGAGGGAGGGAGGGAGGGAGGGAGAGAGAGAGAGAGAGAGAGAGAGAGAGAGAGAGAGAGAGAGAGAGAGGAGAGAGAGGGAGGGAGGGAGGGAGAGAGAGAGAGAGATAGGGGAGAGAGAGAGAGAGAGGGGAGAGAGAGAGAGAGAGTGGGGAGAGAGAGAGGGGGGAGAGAGAGAAAGAGAGAGAGAGAGAGAGAGAGAGAGAGAGAGAGAGAGAGAGAGAGAGAGAGAGAGAGAGAGAGGGAGAGAGAGAGGGAGGGAGGGAGGAGGGAGGGAGGGAGGGAGGAGGGAGGGAGGGAGAGAGAGAGAGGGGAGAGAGAGAGAGAGAGGGAGAGAGAGAGAGAGAGAGAGGAGAGAGAGAGAGAGAGAGAGGAGAGAGAGTGAGAGAGAGAGAGAGAGAGAGAGAGAGAGAGAGGGAGGGAGGGAGGGAGAGAGAGAGAGAGAGAGAGAGAGAGAGAGAGAGAGAGAGAGGAGAGAGAGAGAGAGAGGAGAGAGAGAGAGAGAGGGAGGAGAGAGAGAGAGAGAGAGAGAGAGAGAGAGAGAGAGAGAGAGAGAGAGAGAGAGAGAGAGAGAGAGAGAGAGAGAGAGAGAGAGAGAGAGAGAGATTTCATATCTGTGGGGATTATTACCAAAGAGATAAACAGATAAGCAGATGGAAGGCGAGGCGGAAACTCTAGTCCCAATGGAAAGACTTTAAGATTCAATCAATTGCTTTTATAGTCTTTTAAGCACTTAACTGCTCGGTCGTTATGCCGTCCGTTTTTCTTGCCTATTCAGCTTCCACTCTTCCGCTCCCTTCCTCCTTCCCTTTTTCCATTCCTACTCCACCACCCTCTAACTCTCCTTTCCGTCTTTGTCTCCCTCCTCATTCCTTTCTACCTCTTTCCCTCCTCCTCTCTTACTCTTACTCTTCCTCTTCCTCTTCCTCTTCCTCTCCCTCTCCTTTCTCCCTCTCTCAAAAAGGAAGAAGAAAATGTCGTGTTTATCAACCGTTTCAAAACAGCTCAGCATTTTTATTACGAATATCAATCCATTCAAATTATGACAGCAATATTCCAATTATGCAAATACTGTTATCACAATGAGTCCCTTGGAGCCACCAATCGAAATCAATTTAACGAATAACATACCAAACACAGCTGAATAAAAGAGGGGGCATGGAGGAGGGGCAAGGGGGGGGGGCCAAAAGGGGGAGGTGATGGGAGATCATGGGGAGTGATAAACAGACTCGCCGCGAGAGGGCAGCACCAGCCCCACGCACTCTTTAATAGCGTATGCCCCCCCCCCCCGGCTTTCGAGACGCTTACAATTTGGCGTACATGGTCGTTTGCATAAGTTTTTGCATATCATTATGAGGAGTCTTTTTCTCTAAGAGAAAGTAGGAAATAATAAATACATATTGTTTTAATAGATGTAAACATAACAAGGCATGCATACGTATGTGTGTGTGTGTGTGTGTGTGTGTGTGTGTGTGTGTGTGTGTGTGTGTGTGTGTGTGTGTGTGTGTGTGTGTGTGTGTGTGTGTGTGTGTGTGTGTGTGTGCGTGTGTGTGTGCGTGTGTGTGTGTGTGGGTGCGTGCGTATGTGTGTGCGTATGTGCGTGCGTGCGTGTACGTGCGTGGGCATGTGTTTGTGCGTTGCGTGTGTGTCTGTGTGTGTGGAGTAATATATATACCCAGTGGAAGATAGACAGACATATATAAATAAGGGGACAGATAAGTTGGTAGACAGATGCAGATAAAAATCAGCAACAAGCATCAAGTCACACGTGCAGACTTCCTTCATTTCCATACAATTATCGATCAATCGCGGAGGCTGGCAGCGTGATAGCTATCATGGTGAAAATATTGATAAAAAAGTATATGAATCCGAGCGACGGGAATTTCTTTTACTATTCAACAAATAAAAAGACATAAAAACCGGATGATTTATCTAATGATGCTGTCATTGGGTTATTACTAGTTTTGTTGTTGTTGATGTTGACTATAACAATAATTTATTGTTTATGGCCAAGCTGCCGACAATAATTGTTCAACCGTGCATGCGTTGTTGACCGCTCGAATAAATATATGTTTTGTAAATCATTGACAGAATAGATGGTTGGGTTCGAAAAAGTATCAAATACATAGATCATAATAATGATAATAATAACATCAACAGTAAGAATAGTGATGATGATAATAATAATAATAATAATAATAACAATAATAATAATAATAATAATAATAATAATAATAATAAAAACAATAATGATGATGATGATGATGATGATGATGATGATGATGATGATGATGAAGATGATGATGGTGATGATGATGATGATGATGAAGATGAAGATGATGATAACAATAATGAATAATAATAATAACTATCAATAACAAAAGCAACGATAACGACAGATCACAGCGCACGCATTGTACACCGAATACGAAAGCCATTGATAACAAAAAGGAAAAAGAAATGAAATGAGAAACGAAAGAAGAGAAGTGAGCGTGTGAACCTCCGGGCTGAGTCCGCTCGCTACCGTGTGACCGTCGGCAAGCAACCCCCGCAATCCGTCCGTACACTGAGTAATTTGAAATCAAATTATATACACGTTTCTAACCTCTCCTTGCTCCCCTTCCTTCCCACTCCCTTGTCCCTTCGTTTTTCTCTCTTCTCACCTTCTTTTCAGTTTTTTTTTTCCTTCCAGTTACTTTTTTTTTCTCATTCCTCCAGTCCCTCGCCTTCCCTCCTTCTCAAAAACCCTTCCCCCTTCATCCTTCTCCCCTTTCCCATTCTCCTCTCTTCTTTCCTACTTTCTTCCTTACTCTTCCTCTCTCCCCCTCTTCTCTTTCTCTCTCCGTCTCTTCCTTCTATTCCCTCTTTCTCCTTTCTCCCTTTCCCTTTCTCTTCTCCCTCCTTCTCAGCCCCAACTATGCCGTGTCTGGCAAAGTCGTCTTTCGAACAACATCACGACTGGAAGCCAAAATGCCTGTCTCTCTGCCTCCCAATGCCTGTAATAGCGACTGCTATCAAAAAGCCTGCCGGTCGATGCCCTTAGGGTATCCCTGAGATGTGCCCAAGGAGGCAAAAGGGACAGGGAGCAGGGGCAGGGGAAGGGGTAGGGATCCCAGCCTTTGTCCGCCGGGATTGGTTCCTGCAGGGAGGGTCAACAACACGCGAATGGAAGTTCGTTTCAATGTTTTACCCTTGCCTCCTGGTCGTCCTTCCGTTCGACTGCGCGGAAGAGAAGGATATCGA